CGGCATCCCCTTAACAACATTATTTATGAACAAACTTTTGGAACTCCTATGGGTTTCCCATTATCGCCAATAATAACGGAAATTGTTATGCAAGATTTAGAAATTACAACTCTACAAGCATTAAAGTTTACATCGCCTTTTTATGTTAAATATGTGGATAATGTCATATTGGCAGTTCCAAAAGAAGATATGGAGCATACTGTTGATATGTTTAATTCTAGTTTTGAGACTTTCGTGGCCATTGGAATCATCAATGCAAAAGGTTTCCGGATGGATGCCGCGTGGTTTAACAGCATAATGCCGACGTTTCGCAAACGTTGCAGTTTGCATCTTCAGGGCTGAGAGCTCCGATATTGAGCTTTCTTGGGTTGTGGTCCTTATATATATTATGGGAAGTTTTTCATTTATGGGAAAGTATTCCGTAATGACGCCGCCTAGTGGTGTGAATGTATATTAAGGGCAGTGTACCAATAATAATGATACTGATGACCAATAGTAATGACGCCGCCTAGTGGTGTGAATGTATATTAAGGGCAGTGTACCAATAATATACATTCACACCACTAGGCGGCGTCATTACGGAATACTTTTCCGTAGATGAAAAACCTCCCATAATATATATAAGGACCACAACCCAAGAAAGCTCAATATCGTAGCCCTCAGCCCTGAAGATGCAAACTGCAACGTTTGGGAAACGTCGGCATTATGCTGTTAAACCACGCGGCATCCATCCGGAAACCTTTTGCATTGATGATATGTTTAATTCTTATCACCCACGTATTCTATTTTTTTGGAGATTGGATTGGATAATACTCTTAACTTTCTGGACATTAAGATTATGATTAGAAATAATTATGTAATGTTTGACTGGTTTCACAAGGAAACGTTCTCGGGTAGATACTTAAATTTTCTATCACAACATTTGTTATCACAAAAGAAAGGCACAGTTATAGAACTTATTGATAGAATGTTTCTATTATCACATCCGAAGTTCCATCAAAAAAATATTGCATTCTTAATCGAAGTATTAATACAAAACAATTATCCATTGTGCTTCATTTTTTTCGGTATATTAACGAAAAGGATTGAACACTTGATTAAAAATCATAAAAAAGGTAATAATAATCCCGTAGTTGAAGAAGAGGATAATCAAGATGAAAATAAAAAATTTTTTGTTTTTTCATATACATTTCTTCTTTTAGTAACCTATTCCATAAGTTTTTAAAAATAGTGACAATAAATTGGCATTTTTTAGTTTAAACAAGTTGGGTAAAACTATAGTCAAAGCTCATAAGGATACTACTCCTACTTATGATAATATGAATGTGGTGTATAAAATAAAATGTAAAGATTGCAAGGCATCTTATGTAGGCCAGACAAAAAGGCATATGAGTACAAGAATCAGAGAGCATCAAAAAAATTTCTTTAAAATTACATCGGATCATTCAGTAATAACACAACATAGATTAAAATTTGATCACGATTTTGACTGGGATAAGGTTGAAATTCTAGATTAAGAACCATTTTATAGAAAACGTTTGATTTCAGAAATGATCCATATAAAAAGACAAGAAAATAGCATTAATTTACAGACAGATACTGAGAGCCTAAATGAAATGTATCTCAATTTAATAAGTGGAATGTCTAAAATATAATTGATTATTAAAAGATTGAAATGTTAGTTACTGGATCGTAACATCACAGTTGAGATTCAGATAACATCAGGAATTTTAAAGATAATATACGGTAAACATTCTGCGCGTATATATATGAGTTTACTTGTTTGTCACATTTAGTCGGCTTTTTGACATCGAGTCAGTTAGATACATTTAAATGGTTTGTCCATGTATTAATTGTGTTTCGAGGAATGTTAACGTACATCTAGTGGTATGTGTTTATTATATTGGATCAACATTTATTTAATAACGATTAATAATTTTATTACTTTAATGACTTCATTTATATGATTGATTTTCTATAGTTTGAACATATATTAATTTTTTGCTAAATTATTGTCATTTTTTAGTTTTTAATTTTATTCGAGTGTTGTGTATATTTTAAATAAACAATTTTTGACATGTGTTATTAGTCTATTAATAATGCATGACATACGATTGGCATTCCTGACTGAGGTACATACCAACAACACTGGTGATGACGATTGAGATTAGTTATAGAAGATTTACACCGTAGATGTGGCAAATGACTTTAATATTGCGACTTTTTAATTAATTTTCAAACATATTAGATGTAGTTATTTTGCAACAGTAAGTTAATATTTGCGCTGAAGATGGTCCAAAAGAAGGAGCCGAAACGTTCGCTTTTTCATTTTGTTTGTATGAATTATATTAGTATAGAATAAAGGTATGCGTTTTATTAACCTTACGCTTGCTCGTATTTGCCTATTTTACTTATAATTATTTATTTTTGATCCACGAGCTAGTGCATTGTATATAATAAAAATGTACGAACATAAAAATGGTATTGTTTAATATGTAATGCTACTGTATGTATATATCGACGTTCAGCGTACACGAAATGAAGAGTTCTGTGAAGTTAGCCTACCAAAATTAGATTTTCGAATTAATACAAAACGAATACGGAAAATCATATAATAGTGTTAAAAAAATACCTGTTACAAGAAAGTGGTAAAAACTAAATGATTATAATGTCAATTTCTTGTCTACGATCAGAACATGACAAGATATCAGTAATACACGAACAGAAATGCTTACTCTGACATATAACATTACATTAAACCGAACAAAGACAATATCTCGAATAAATAACACAATTAAAAAGAGAAATACAAGTCGACCGAGTAAAAAATTTTTATAAGCAAAAAATATATAAACAAAAGGACAGTTTTAAAACACTTCATAGGTGATATAAACTCTACTAGGATAAAAACAAAAATAAAATAAAAATGAGAAAATTAAAAATTAAAAATTAATAAAATAAATACCGATATCTAAAATAAATTCAAAATAGTATCATACATATCATTTAAGTTTTCTGTGTCCCTTTGCAAATTAATAGAATTCTTTTGTTTTTTGATGAAAATCATCTCGCTTATTTCTCTCTTTTTTACATGCAATTTGTTATGTAAAATGGACACATTAGACCAATCAAAATCATGGTTAAATAACGTTCTGTGTTTGCTGATAACAGAATGAGATGTAACATGTTTTTTAATATTCGAGTTATGCTCCTTAATTCGTGTTTCCAAATTACGTTTGGTTTGCCCAATATAGCAGGAATCACAATCGTTACAAGAAATTTTATATATTACATTTGTTCTCTTACCGATAGGAAGTTTGTCTTTTCCTTTTTTAATTAATTTGTTCAATCTATTATTAACAGTATATAAAACTCTCAGGCCACTCCTATTTAATGTTCGTTGAACTTGGTCACTCAATCCTTTTACAAAAGAGAAAATGACAATGTTGGAAGTGTCAAAGGAATTATTTCCCCTCAGTGGAAAATTATCTAGTGATTTTAAATGTAGCAACTGCAATCTTTTATTCATAACTGAATTATTTAGATCGTATTAGTAAGTCAAGGCTCTTATTAAATTCTAATAAATTTGATAAAAGGCTGTTAAGAGCAGTAAATATAAAAATTCAAATTATGTTAGAAAGAAAGTCATATATAAAAATAATATTTTTTAATATAATGTCTACTAATAAATTACAATAAAAGGTGACAAAAAAGAATTAAACATAAGTACTCTTTAAATACAAATATAAAGTGAACGTTTCGGTCAAAATAGGAGACAAAGGAGAGCCCATAGGCATTCCAAAAATTTGCTCATAGTAACCATTATTAAATGTGAAGCTTGTAGAATCCATAATTAACTCTAGCGCAAATAAGAATTGATCTAGAGAGAAGGTCGTATTTTGAGATATGTCTTTCCATCTCTCTTTAATCGTCGATATAACTAAGGACTTAGGAACATTGGTGTATTAGGACTTGACATCAAGTGATATCATGCATTCACTATATATAATATTATATATAGATAATATTTTGACACAATGTAATGAATATCATCCTAGACTGCAGTTTACTTGCTGTTTACTAAAAAAAAATTATCTAACTGCTTATTGCAATTTTCATATTTTTTTAAAAGGTAACTATGTGTTTTCTTTACACCAACTGATTCATCTCATTATTCTGTGCATAAAAGTATTTATAATAATCGAAAAATGAATATTTTCCAAGATATTTTGTATTTTATGTCAAAATACTGCAAATTTGCAGCCTTAATAACTCAAAAAATACTTAATGAAAAAATATTTTATTGTAGTGTTTTGGAAAGATCTCGAAGTCAGCTATAAAAGTATGCAAGAAAAAATATAGTGTTCCATTTAAGAAATTGAAGTTGACCTTCACGTAACCTTCAAATGGTTATTCAAGGTCAAATCAATGACACCATCTCATGTCCCCCTTGCAACCATACAACTTTTATCTGAAACATTTTTGTCTTAAACTTTGAATTTTGAGAAATTTTAGTGCAAGGTTAAAATGGCCTACTCTGTATATACATATATATATATATATATATATATATATATATAAATTGTAAGCAGCGCCACAGTATATGTATAACCAGTAGCGGCACTTCGTGTCGGTTCTTTTGATGTCAGTGTCCGAAATCATGTGACATGTCGCCATGTTCTTGATAGTAATAGCGCGCTTATATTTAAATTGTGAGAAAGAAAGGCAACTATATATAAACAATTATTTTTATAATTGTGCAGACAATTATTGTATAAATAACCACAATGTATATTTTCTTGAAATACATATTAGATATGTAACATTAAAGTAACGCAAATAATCATATAAACATAAAAAAAGAAGAAATTTAACAAGTAATAATATTAAAATATACCTATGTGTTATTTAATAAATTATTTTTTTATTATGTTTGTGTATTATTTAATAAATTATTTATATTAAACAAGTAACATATTTATTATTGCCATTTTATTTATAAACATATTGATGTACATTTAGATTATTTACAATTGAAATGTATATAATGTGTAAAATTACGATAAATTCGTGATCAATGATTCCAATTTTTTGTTATACTCTTCAAAAATACGAAATCTCAAATTTTAGATGTATATAAAAATTGATAATAAATAAATGTATATAACAATTCTATGTAATTTACAATTGGTTATAAAAGACTAATTTGTTTTATATTATCAGGTGTATTATTGTTTATCTGTTTAATGTACTTAAATTGATTTCTGTCTTGTTATTATGAATACGTATGAATACTTATAAGATAAGCTCCATTTTGTGGATAGGTATGTGTTGAATAATTGAACAGGAATTCAGTCACCTAGAAAACAATATTAATTATAAAATAAAACACTTTTTATTAATATTTTTAATATTATAATGTTTAGAAAAAACAAAAATTAGACATTTTCTGCATCTTTAACACACACACACATATATATATATATATATATATATATATATATATATATATGTAGCAATTGTGCTCTAGAATAAATGTTATTGTAATTTTAGAAACAATTAAATTTTATATATACGTATATAGGAAATTGTCAAACAATTAATACCTTTCTGGATGAGATGGAAAGCGAAAAAAGCTCAAGTGACGACTGGAGCCGGAATTTTCATTGCAATCTTGCATTGCGCACGTGAAATCATCAACAACTACGCGACGTTCTATTATTATAACAATGTTTTTTAAAAATATTTTCAGACCTAAAACTTAACAGTCCTTTAATTAACTTGAATTCATTAATAGGCTATATTTATTTTGATAAACACAACCACCACTTACTGTGTTTACAACTCACTGTACACCATATTGTGGATAGTAATCCAACGCATGCGCCGTAGCATTTCTCCGACGCTATTTTTCTTGAGTGACGCTACTGGTTATACATATACTGTGGTACGGATGTGTAATGTTGTGTCGGCAGTTACTGCAATTGGAACGTGATTTGTGTCACCGTGTGCATAAAAGTGTCTAGGGAAATTTCAATTGGAAAGCATCTAGAGATGATTCTGGGGCTCTCTGTCCTTCTCTTTTTTCGCGTGATGGGGACTGCGTAGGGATGGGTAAAAACGGAACAGCATGCGCCACAGTATAATCATACCCAGTAGCGACAGTGGGCCATTTAAACGTGCCATTTCATTCACATGTGTATGTGCGAAATGACATTTGGGAATAATACAGAGCAGAAAATTAGTTGCGCGATGTCGCGATAGATGGAGCTGCAATCGCGCAGTTAGACAAAGACAGATAGTCATATTATTTTCGTCTCTCTCATGCTGTCTTGTCTTCTGACCACGGTCACGTATTCATAATAACAAGACAGAAATCAATTTAAGTACATTAAACAGATAAACAATAATACACCTGATAATATAAAACAAATTAGTCTTTTATAACCAATTGTAAATTACATAGAATTGTTATATACATTTATTTATTATCAATTTTTATATACATCTAAAATTTGAGATTTCGTATTTTTGAAGAGTATAACAAAAATTGGAATCATTGATCACGAATTTATCGTAATTTTACACATTATATACATTTCAATTGTAAATAATCTAAATGTACATCAATATGTTTATAAATAAAATGGCAATAATAAATATGTTTACTTGTTTAATATAAATAATTTATTAAATAATACACAAACATAATAAAAAATAATTTATTAAATAACACATAGGTATATTTTAATATTATTACTTGTTAAATTTCTTCTTTTTTTATGTTTATATGATTATTTGCGTTACTTTAATGTTACATATCTAATATGTATTTCAAGAAAATATACATTGTGGTTATTTATACAATAATTGTCTGCACAATTATAAAAATAATTGTTTATATATAGTTGCCTTTCTTTCTCACAATTTAAATATAAGCGCGCTATTACTATCAAGAACATGGCGACATGTCACATGATTTCGGACACTGACATCAAAAGAACCGACACGAAGTGCCGCTACTGGTTATACATATACTGTGTCCGTACTCAGCTCGAGGGCTACTAGTTAGCTGTGTAATCTTCTATTTTCTAGGGACAATTAAATGTGCGGTTGCAAACTGATGGCGGTTATGTTGGCAATTTTCTTTCTTTTTATCTATCAAAAGTTGTATTCAAAGAAGACTGAAGTATATTTACATCAATAACTGGAAGTATATTATAAGTATATTTATACTGAAGTATGAAAACAATAAAAATATTTTAAAAAATATTAAAATATTAAATAAATATTATCAATAAGAAGTTGATATAATGAAAACAATATATCATTTTCTTCGGTTTCTTCGTTTGAGGAAGATGTATTAAATTCGTCAGACGAATTAGTGATTATTTTGTCGTTGAGAACATTTGAACTTGAACTTGTTGAAATTAAGCTATCAAAACTGGATGACAGCTCTGTAGCCATCGCTATAATTATTTTATCTTCCTTTCTAATGATATTGTATATATTATTTTTAATATATTTGTGAAACAAATAATTAAATAATAATTTAAATAATATTAAATAATAGATACGTTAATTTTGCTACAAAATTATATAAATAATTATAAATATATGAATTATATACAACATTAAACGCTAAATAAAATAAAATGTTAAAATACCTATATTTTTCAACTCGAGTCTCGTATAAACAGTTCGATCAGAGCTGGAGGTCGATTGTGTATCTTGGGTGAGTTTGCTCACGAGATGAAAATTACAAAAGTGAAAAGATTTACTAGATATCGACAAATGAAACCGTGGGTACTCTAGTAAATTTCCTCACTTTTGTAATTTTCACCTCGTGAGCAACTCACTCAAGATACACAATCGACCTCCTGGTTCGATCATCACCATCGCTACGGATTATAAAATATCAAGATGGACATAGTTATAAAGAATCCTTCACTATCTACTCAACAGTCGCATATTAACTTTGTTCCAATTGAGTCGTGCACATCGCTACACTTTGTGCCTTCCTGTGTATGTTTGTGTTAAAATGTGTTAAACAATTGGAAAGCATCTTTTTCTCTGTCCTTTAGATCTTTCAACGCTGCCTTTTACAGTAGGGGCCGACCTATGTCTCTATATATATGGCGTAGGTGTAGCAAGTGTAAAGCGGGGACACACACTCTTGCATAAGCGCATAAGCATATGCATAAGAAATTTGATTGGTTGAATTTCTTATGCATATGTTTATAGACCAATCAGGATTCTCATGTTTACGCTTATGCGCCTATGCAAGAGTGTGTGCTCCCCGCTTAAATCTTGTATCTACGTACTCTACGTACGATTGTAAATAATCTTCGTTTAGCAAGTTCTTCTCTTCTTTTTAGTATAAGATAAAGGCAGTACATCTTGTTAATTTGCTCATAATTATTTTTAGATTGCCAAGATGTTTGTGGCATTCATTGCAACTGTCTGCATTTTTGCACTATTAACCTAAAGGGAACAGAAGATCAAAATAATGTCAATTTGACGTCATATTGACTAAATATTGACCAAAAAATGACATTTTAGTCAATATGACGTCAAATTGACATTATTTTGACTTTTCTGTTCTCCTTGGGTATATAACAAATAAATTTCAGATTTTATCATATAAAATTATTTACGTACTCAAACAATGGTTATTGAAACATTATTATTGCAGAATATTCATAAAGTAAATAAAAATTTTTAATAAACTTAAATTTTTTTTAAATTTGCGTATTTTTTCCGTTTCTATTTTTCGGTTTCTGGCATCACATAGAGCAGACTTTTTAACAGGAAATGGTATCCTAACCTTTTTCTTCAACCAAGAACCAACTTTTATTCATAAAATACAAAAATTAGTATACTTTGAGTGTATAGTTGCTAGTTACACAAATGTTTAATATTTTTTTATTTATATAATTTTATTTTTTACCTTAAAATACCATTTCCGATTTTAATAAATTCCGATTTTTCTTCACTTTTCCTATTTTTTAGCTTGCATGAGATGCCTGGAATTAAAAAAACGGAATGAGCAGACTACACGCTGTGCAGCTGCGCATGCTCCATTCCCATTTTACAATCCCCTTTTTGTCTTTCCGATGTTCGCTATGCATGAGACTGCACCCTTACACTGATTTGATTATTCTTGTTTATCTTTAAAATGCTGATGTATATGGATACGATTATTGACAAACGCCACACAAATATGCATATATTAGCGTATCTTCCGCCAGAAATTGGATTCGGCGTAACGTAATTGCGTAAAAAGTATAAAATAACTAGGCGGAAGCTGATACTGAAATAAGACGATGTGATTGGTCGGCGAAATTTACCGCAAGTTACGCTTCATATGATGGCACCCTTACAGTCTACTCTGTTGTCCTCTTGGCAATAGCATTAGGTTGAATAACAGCAAATGCATTCCCTATGAAATTAAATACGATCTTCCCTATGTGTACAAATACGCACATGAATGCAGGGGGTCGATTGTGTAACTTTTTCTAAAGTAAAAACGTGAAAAGTGAAAAATTTCCACCAATCACGCATTGATTTTAAGATAAAATCGATGTGTGATTGGAAGAAATTTTTCACTTTTCACATTTTTACTTTAGAAAAAATTACACAATCGACCCCCTGATCAAAAAATAATTTTTATTTTGACAACTGTCAAACTGTTAACCCTATCAACAGCAAATCGAGACAGCCAATCAGCATCGCGGAAAAGCGACGACAATGTCAATAACATGCTTTTCTTATAGCGTTATCGATTGGGAAAAAGTTAGTGCGCACCAGTGCGCACTCAGTTCACACGAACACTGGACAAGTTCCATGGGTTGCACTGAATAGTGCAGGTGAAAAAGAACACGCCGAAATTTTCAGTGCCACTTGAGTTGACTAGATTCCGGGAAGAACGAAAAAGTAACCTCGACATCTTGTGTTCAGTTAAGTAATGATTTTATTATATGTAATTAAATATAGAAGATGATCAAGAATATCACGTATGACAAATATAAAAATTATTATTTTCCAGTATAAAAATGCTATTACATTAAGTACATTAAATATATTTTAAAAAAGGGTATAGGTTCGATGTTTATATAAAAAGATATAACACTTACGGTGTCATTATCCATTTTTTTCACACATTCTACATAATTTACAGTTTTTGGAATTATTCTTTTAGTTCGAAGAGTTGTAATTATTTCTTCTTGCTCGCTTGAACTAGAAGAAGATTCCAAAAATGTCTCCAAAATATTAAAGAGAGCCAAATCCGAATTGCTCATTATGTCGAATTTTCGTTCAAAAGAATGCCCTACTGCTTGCATGCATCCAGTGCACTGAACTGGCACCGTCAAAATATCTCGTGCCACTTAGTGCGCACTATGCGAGTGTTGTGCGTTCAAACGAACACGCAACACTAGCCAAGTGCGCATTGGCACTACCAATCGAACACGCGCCTGACATTCAGTGCAGCCAGTGCACCCCAATCGAAAACGCTATTAGAAAGAGGATATATCAATGAATATAAAATGTTCACAAAATTGCAATCGTCTTCTTGTAGTCATTTTTTTTACAAAAATAGAACAGTCACGGGATAAAACGGTTTCTTTTTAGATTATTTTATCCAAAATATTTTTAATGCCTGCTACTATGCATGCATTAAAAAATTTTTGCATAATACTGTATAATAAATGCATAATACTCTTGTGTTTTATTGCAGATATAATACAAAAATGCCTGATAGAAATCGTTCTCACAAAATCACAACAAAACTGAAGCTCAATTAAAAATGTCAGTGCTATATTTTCTTAATTTTTTGCAACAAAGTTAAAGATGCACTATTTAATAAAAAATATGTTTTTTTGTCACATAAATTCAAATTATAAAATTTTCCTATTTTTAACTTTACTACAAAACGGCTTTATCCCATCCCAATATAGAGTTAAAATAGAACTCGACCATATTGATCATTAGTTCACTCATGCATATTCGTCCAAATGACGCTTAAAACACTATTTCAAAACAAAATATGGAGTTAGCTATCTATATTTTCTTATATTATCTGTGCTCGATATGTCGTAAAGCTCAATTCCGTAATTATAATATGTATATATGCATATAAACTACACCCTAGTGTGTTATCTAGTTTATCAGAATTATCATCATCAATGTTACGCGCTCAAAGATAATATTCCAATTGAAATTTTATCATATAGATAGTCACACCAAAGTAATATTGCTCGGATAACATAAGAATAATGAGTACGAAGTTCTTATTTATCGAATCGGTGGAGATTTTGCGGAGCACCTTACCGCATTATCATACCTTTTTGGAAGTGATCCTGGTGATTTGGCTGGCTTGGTTCATCTCCAAAAGACGCAACCATTCTCTACCCCCAAGAGACCTGGTGGAACGTAAATTAGCCGAATATCGACCAGAATCCCTGGTCCCGGAACCCCCGGAGGGCCATCCCTCGCTGAACCCCAAATACGTCACCTCTAGGATCGGGAAACGAATAACGGTGAATGGCAAAGATTGTCTCAATTTGGGTACCCATAATTATTTGGGACTGAGCGACAGTGAGGAAATAGTTAAAAGCGGGGTGGCGGCCATTGAGAAATATGGCGTCGGTTCTTGCGGTCCACGAGGTTTCTACGGCACCGTCGACGTGCATCTCGAACTGGAGGAACGTCTCGCAAATTTTATGAACGTCGAGGAGGCCATCATCTACTCCTACGGATTCCCTACTGTGGCGTCCGCCATTCCGGCTTATTGCAAACGTAACGACTTGCTATTCGTAGATAGCCAGGTGAACTTCGCCATTCAGAAAGGATTGGACGCGTCTCGTGGAAATATTCAATATTTTGAACACAATAATGTTCAGGATTTTCATAGGCTCTTGATGGAGCAAGCCGAAGTTGATAAGCAACATTCTAAGAAGGCAAAAATCAAACGTTTCTTGATTATAGAGGGTATATATATGAATACGGGAAACATTTGTCCTTTACCAGAATTGTTAGAGCTTTGCAAGAAATATAAATTGAGGATTTTTATCGACGAATCGATATCGTTTGGCACCGTCGGTTTGCATGGAAAGGGTGTTACTGAATATTTTAACATTCCCAGAAGCGAGATAGACCTGATAATGGGTAAGAAAAATTATACATTGCAAAATCACAAATGATAAAATATGACCTTCATGTGATCTTGAAGAACTTCCTATAAAGGTAAACTTTCACATCTTAAATAGAAATCTCCAATTTTTATTGTATATTCTTGATGCTGATGTCAAGGTATGTTTTCAAAATACACTGGTTATATATTCTTGATGCTGATGTCAAGGTATGTTTTCAAAATACACTGGTTATATATTCTTTTTACTTGAGATCTTTTTAACTTATAAGCTTTATGAGATGTTTCAAGGTCACATCAAGGTCACATCATTATAGTTACATAATAGACTATTTGATTTTCTAAAACTTTTGTATTTAATATTTTCTGCCATTTTAGTCATTATTTTCAAAGACATTTAATCATTATGGAACTTTTGCCATCATTGCATATATATTTTTTTATTTAAATATATTGTTAAACTTTATTAAATATGTATTTATATTATTTTTTATATTTTATTTTATACTTTTTATTAAATTTTTTACTTTATATATTTATTATACACACACACACACACACACACACACACACACACACACACACACACACACACACACACACACACACACACACACACACACACACAATAATGATAATGCTTAATATATCCTTATATGCTTTAGGTTCTTTGGAAGGGGCTATAGGAACTATTGGAGGCTTTTGTGTAGGAACATCATTTGTTATTGATCATCAACGATTATCTGGACTCGGTTATTGCTTCTCAGCATCTCAGCCACCCCTTTTAGCATCCGCTGCTATTACTTCGTTAGATATTATGGAAAATAATTTACAAATATTTCAATTATTGAAAAACAATGCCTTAGCAATGGACAGTGGTCTTAAACAAATACCAATGTTAGAGTGCTTAAGCTTTGCGGAATCTCCTTTGAAGCATATATATTTAAAAGAGAAAAAAGAACGTGCTATTGAAGAAAAATTATTATCAGCAATATCTAGTAGATGTATGGAAAATAATTTGGCAGTTATACTTCCTGCTTATTTGGAAGTGGAAAAAATTTTACCTAGACCTAGTCTTAGACTTTGTATATCTGCTAGCTTAAATAAAAGTAATATCAATTTTGCATTAAATGTTTTAAAAAAATGTACAGAGGAAGTTTTATCATTTCATGATTGAAACTAATAAATTAAACTAATAACATTCAAGAAAATTCAAATATATATATATTAGAAATAAACTTAATCAAAATTTATATTACATCACATATATTAATGTAGATGTAATTTGACAAGTAAGAATTTCTTTTTCTAACAAAATATAGTTATTATATATTTATTATTAATATTGCTAAATAAAATTAAGTGAAAAAAAAAAAAAACATTTGATAGAAAATATATTTATAAATATGTATGTATATATGTAATCTTTTTGAAAATATATGTTAGCTATTTTTATGTCATTGACAAAATATTGTTAGAAAACCAATTCTGTACAACTTATGATTATCAAATAGGATACATAAATTTTTTCATATAGACAATGCAAAATGTAAGATATGTGATAATTAATCAAGATATTTGAAAAACCTGAGTTCTTAAGGATTTTTTATTCTGAAAAATTAAAGTGTTTTTATAAAATTTTGTTAAAATTCAAGGAATATTTTTAAAAATTGACAATTAGTATTATATTGCAATAGTTGACAATATATATTAGCAATCAGTATAGTACTTTGTTTTTTAACATTCAAATAATATTGCTTTCTTGTATATTTCTTAAATTAACTTTATGTTTAATTAAATAAATTATCAATATTAAATGCTAAAAAGTGCCTTAGATACTCTATACTTTATTCAAGATTTATATAAAAAAAAAAATACACAGAAATTTATATTTAAATATATTTATCAGATTAGAATCATGTATGTTTATATATATGGTATATATTCAATGCTTTAGTAAAATACTGAATATGTAACACATAATTTTCATCATAATTTTTGACAATAAAAAAATGAAAATATTCAAGCAAAACACATGTTAGGTCTATCTTTCACTTCAAACTTTTCAGTACCTTTTCAAATCTAATATTTGAAATTTAAATAAATTCTGAGAGAACAAACTTCAACAAACATACGCCAGTATTTTTTAGAACTAACACAATAATATTTCAGAACAAATACTTGTAAATGAATTTATAATTATAGCAGTAATGCCATTTATTTTTTTAAGATGCTAATTACCCAGATAACCACAGTAATTATTATGACATCATTTTGATGTCAAAATGCATCATTTGCCATCAAAATAATGTCATAATAATTACTGTGACTATCGGGTAACGATTAACTATCATGTGTTTTTAAAATAAATAGTATAGTTGCAAATTCTATATTTCTTCTTAAAAATTTATAAAAGAAATTTTTTTATACCGATATATTTTAATTTCTCCTATTATTTTATTTTTATGCATAAAAGTATTGAGGTACAAAAATATTTTATAATTTATTTTATAGTTTATGTCTTTATATGTAACAGAGATTACGTCAAATAAAAATATATAAAATATCTGATAAATTATTCAATTTTGATCATTCTACTTTTATAACTTTATATGCCGAATATTGCAAAGAATCGATTTATATAAAAAAGGGTAATTCCATTTTAAAAAATTCAAGGTGATCTTGTCCTTGACGACATCCCTCAAGATCAAATTAATAAGTCCAGTAAACAAAACTTTTTTTTTTATAAAACCGCGCATGTGCGAGAAAACAAATTCAAATTCATTTGAAACTTTAATTGTGTATTCAGCAGAAAAAACAGTTTTGCAACTTATACTTTTCAACATGTTTACAAAGCGGTCGCCGTTTTTTCCAGCATTATATGCAAGTATGCTTAATAAGCGAAACGTGTTGAATAATACATGATCATAACCTATAATAAGTACATTCATTGTCAGCAGAAACATTCATTGACTTATAGCTGCCTATAACTCGATGGAAACGTCAAGCGCCAAACAACGCAGCCACGCTACTTGAATCTTATCTAATCCAATTACGAAGAAGAGAAGATCTTACAAATCTAACTTAAAATTGTTCTATTTTTTTTACTGAATTATTAAACAATAATTGTTTATTAAATGACGTAATGCTGTGACTGATTTATAATTATGCGAAATATAAAGAAAATATATCAGGAAGTGCTAAAAAGGTATCCAGTGGGTACACAGGCAGTGCAAGCTGGTAATATAATTTGTTTTAATACAATTATAAATGTAAAAAGGAAGGTGGATGTAAATATATATATATATATATATATATATATATATATATATAAAATTATATAATATATTATAAATATATATACAATTATATATATTTTTTTTATTGTAATATAATATTGAATATGATAATATTGAATGTATAGGAATATTAATGGGACTTGGTGATCAGATTGCACAGAATTTTATAGAAAATTCGAAAACCATTGATTTTGTACGTACAATAAAGTTTGCTGGAATTGGCTTGTTTATTAGTGTAAGTACAAATATTGCGCAATTTATAGAATTTAAAGTGTCTTTTGCACAAATATTTCTAGTGTAGATGCTTAATGTTTTTGAAATTTAATATTATGGTAAATTATGTAGGGTCCAGCAACAAGAACATGGTACGGTATTTTAGATAAATATTTAGGTTCAAAAGGTTATTCCGTTGCAATGAAAAAGGTTGCTTGTGATCAATTGCTATTTGCACCTACATTCATAGCAGTTTTACTAGTTACTATTGGTATTTGTCAAGGAAAAGATATTGAAAAAGTGAAAATTAAAATACGAAATGAATATAGCGATATTTTAGTGAATAATTATAAGGTAACAAATGATTATATTTTATACAAGCTGTGAATTTTCTTTCATTTGCTTTAATATTTGTTTTACATTTTTTTTAGGTTTGGCCTATGGTTCAACTTGTAAACTTTTCTTTCATACCTTTACATTATCAAGCTTTAGTTGTACAGTCAGTTGCTTTATTGTGGAATAGTTATATTTCATACAGAACAAGTTTAGATAAATATAATGAATTTAGATAAATATATATCTGACAAATTTGTATTATATATAAACATATTGTAATTATATATAAACATATAATTTTTAATATGTACACAACAAATAAAATATTTCATATTAGTAACAATTAAAATATCTTGTAAAAATATTTATTTGTATAATAAAATTATAATTTTGATGATTGCATCACATTTTTTTATGTATTAACAAAAAGAGGTATAGAAAAACGAGAAAAAAGGAGAGGAATATATATATATATATATGTAATTTTTTGTAACTTTGAAGTTTTTTAATTCTAAATTAATTATTAAAATTATATATATATATATATACATTTCACATCAATAGTGATATCACTAGCAAAATTATATCGCTTTTCTTATATTTTTAATACAAAATAACATTTAAAAATTAATTTTTTAGTATTTAACTTGTAATAAACATTTTAAAAAGTAACAGAAATTATTCCTATTTAAGTAATCAGTAACAATAAGTTTCATAAAATAACTTTCCCAAAACCTTGATATTTTTATATTTAAATGAATTATATTTAAATGAATCAAAAATTTTTTATTAATTTGTGGAATGATTTCATGTGGAATGTCACACTATCAATAAAATTTTAACTTTTTTGTACAAATGGTCAATTCTTCTCCTTTTAAAAATTGAAACTTATGATGCTCTCTTATATATTTATTATATATATATATATATATATATATATATATATATATATATATATATATATATATATATATATACAGGATTGGGAATAACGAGTTACTTGTAACGAAGTTAGTTATTTTTTTCGGTAACTATAACTTAACTTCGTTACTTTTCTCCATCTGTATCTGTAACTTAGTTACTTTTTTTAGTAACTATTAACTATTTTAACAGTTACTTTATTAGTTACTTTTTTTGGAAACAGGCGCTAAAAGTATCGTTTAAGTATGGTAGCCGTTATATTATTAAATTAAATTTTGATAACAGTAGCATATGGATCTTCATATGATTTAATCTTTTACCTAAAATTTTCATTTTGTGTACATAAAATAATATAACACATAATTAAGATCGACTAATCACAGTCAAATATTTAAAAAAATTCTTAAATGTAATAATTAATCGATTTGCTTGCGACTTTGCGATTACCATTTAGTAAGTTACTATAACTATTTTCACTGTTGTATATAAAGGTCATTCATACATTGATGGTAATTGCAAAGTCGCAAGCAAATCGATCAATATTACATTCAAGAATTTTTTTAAATACTTAACTGTGATTGTGCATAAAATGTAAGCTCTTTATATTTAAAACAATGTATAATTATTTTTAAAAAGTAACTGAAAAGTAACGACTCGTTACTTTTAGAGTAACTGTAACGAGTTATTTTTTAAAATTGGTAACTTGTAACTGTAACTAGTTACTTTTACAAAGTAACTTTCCCAACCCTGTATATATATATATATATATATATATATATATATAATTATATATATATTTTGTTTAGAAGTAATATAATAGATCTATAACATAAATGGAATATAAAATTACAAATATAAAATTTTGTATTTACGCTATATTTCTCTTCTCTTTTATACTTGTTTGTTCTATAACAAAAATTTTGACAAAAATAATAAACACAAATGTACTTATCTAATTACAAAGATTAACAGTATTAAATATATATATATATATATATATATATATATATATATATATATATTTATATATATATATATTATATATATATATATATATATTATATATATATATATATATTATATATATATATTATAAGAACATTATAAAAGATATTTACTGATTTACCTGAAATGCCTCAAAATCATTATCATTAACAACTTGCTGTCGAACATTTTTCTGCTTTTGCAACAGCAGCGGGTATAGTGTCGGTAGTTTTAGACGATATGCACTGTCCGAGTAGCTCTGGACACGACACATCATTGGAAACAATGCTATGCATTTTTTTAAGCAAGTCATAGTTGATACGTTGTGTTATTACAGCATCATGCCTGTATTTGCATTTAATATTTTATTAAAATAATATCACATTTAAATTTATTTAAATTTACAATATCAATAATATAAGAAAAAAAGTATACATGATATATGTATATTGCTTACTTATATTCAGGATGTGAAATAACTTCTTTCCTTAACCAGGCTGCAGTTGTTAAAAGTTCTCCAGAAGCTCGTTTCTGTATTAATTTTATGTATCTTTGTATAGTGCAATGTGTATCAGCATCTACATCCATGTTAGCGAGATATGAGTTAACTAATGGGACAAGACCAGGGAATACACCATCCTAAAATAGAGAAAAATAGACTTTATCACTTAGAAAATATATTTATACAAAATGTTGTACATAAAAATATATTAGAATAAATTTTATTTTTATCAATTTAAATTTTCTGATACAACCCTAACACAGGGAACTCAGATATTAAACTGATTGTTCAGAAGTTGGACAAATGTCCAAATAAAATAAGAAATATTCTGCAATATTTTATAAATATTATATTCACGTTTGTAGAAATGTATCAGCATCATTGCAGAAATATTGCATGATATAGTTTGGGAATAGCTATATCTATTATGTAAACTTTTAGGAATATTTCAATCTTGCAAAACAATATTCCATCAATACATCGTGCTGTAAGGGCCTGTATAATAACACAAAATATTATGTATTTTTTCTAAGATAATACCTTTCCATTAATAATTTCGTTAATTGTAAATTCGGTGTATTCTGCTTGAGCATCAGATTTTATGTCTGAAGTAATGTCACGACGAAACCAAAATTTTTCCACCTTGACTGCATCTCTTTTTTGTGCCCTGACCATATTTTGATCAACCTTGCTGATTGGAATTAGAAGATTTAATTTGTAGCTCAGCATGACTCTTGTCAATAGTACCGTGAAACAAACTATTGCGGCATTTTCAAAATCTGTGATTTGAACCTCACATGGACGGAATTCTACACGCCAACCAATAGAAGAGTTTGGCGGTGGTGGTTTAAAACGCATAGTTTGCCAGTTTGTAGACTGTATATTCTAAAATGAAAAAATAGTATATTTTATGATTTTGTTAAAATAATATACAGGATGTCTCATTTAAAAAAAATATGCTTATAAATATACAAAAACATCGTGTTTTAAAAAATAATTTCAAACAAAAGTTGTTTGATTTTGAGGGGCAAAGAAGTTGATAATCTTAATTGAGATTATTTTTCAAGGTTACTTGAAGATCTTAGTTTTTTTAAATAGAACCATCTTAATTTTTTTACATAAATTGATTCCTCACACTGTTTTAAAAAGTTATAGAGAAGATTAATTAAAAAATGAATAGTTTACGAAATATTTTATATTTTAATTTAACATAATTTTACATAAACTATAAAACATTTTATAAAATATTAATTTTGTAATAATTTTTCCTTAATACTTTTGTGCATAAAATAATGAAATTAAGTGACATAAAGAAAACACAGTTGTTTTTAAGAAAAAGTATATAATTTTCAAAATTAATAGCTACATATTTTTTCTTAAAAACAACTGTTTTCTTGCTCTTAATTGATTCTTCTCACTAATTTGTGCATAAAAGTATTGAAGATCATCGAAAAATAAATATTTTACGATATAATTACAGTATATGTAAAAGTATGTCAAAAATACTATAAAATATTTCATAAATTATTCACTCTTGGCCTTATTCTTATAATTTTTTATATTAAATATTAGGAAGTATCAATTATATAAAAAAATTGAAGTGATTTTATATTTAGATTTTTTTTAAATCAACCAACTTATGTTCAAACCATGTTCTAAAGGTTTTTATATGTATTTAAATATATATATATGTATATATATATATATATATGTATATATATATATATATATATATATATATATATATATATATAATTTTTAAATGAGACACATTGACAATTAATATCCATAAGTTAGCATTACAACTATAATCTTACCTCAAAGTGATCAGTATCTTCCAAATCGTTCTGATGTATTTTTTCGGAAAACAAAGATACACTATCTCTGATAAATAAATGAGCTATGTGTTGCGCGAGCAAGTGATCGATATCATTATCCAAAAGTTGTTTATATATTTCATCATCGTATGTCAAAGGGACATCGTTATACTTTTCTCCTTGTTCGCTAAGATACGAATCAATAGAATCGTATCTAGATTTACTGATTCTGAATTTATTTTCTTTAAGAGGCTTCAATCCACGTTCCTCTTGTGTTCTACAGTCCACTGATGAAGATATGACATTCCATCGACAATCAACATCGCTTATATAACCGCGATAAAATGGACTAGCTGCAGTTAAAGCCAACTATTGAATGTTAAAGAAATGTTCTGTAACGTATGCATGAAAAAAACACTCTGACAGTATGTTATTGTTAAATTTAAAAAAAAAATGAAAAAATTCTTAAGCAACAATATTATTTAATACTAACCATGATAGGGCATAAAGGTGTCAGTTGATCGTATAATGTTCTCGCTTCTTGTATGTTGCACGCTTGAAAGGTAAGTTGCAAACAACAACATCCCATCCCAAAACCCATTGCATCCATGTAAATGTGATTATCTTTAGCTGCCTTAGAGGAGGATCCATCATCTCCCTTGCTGGTAAAATCTTCTTTAAATAACAGAGGCACATTTTCATCTCTGTAAACTAAAAAAAAATCAATTTATGTATCATGAAATTATGCAAAATTTACTCATCCAGATTTTATTATAAACAATAAATAATTTTCAATTTTATCTATAATGCTATTACATACCAGGAATGTTTATGGCTACTTTCTCTCCACGTCGTTCTCTTATGTTTCTAGTTAATGTTTTGAAACGTGGATGACCAGGATATATAGCTTCATCAGGAAAAAATAAGCTTTTGGAGGCACCAGTATCAAATGTTGGACGAGTGGGAGGATCCGTAAAATCAGGAGCTCCTACTCTATAACAGAAATAAGAAAATTTATAAAATATTAATATATTTGGAAT